AAACGATGCGTTGCAAGGTGAAGCAGTCGCGGCCAGAAAAGTTTCCCATGTGCGGCTCTGCGTGTGGTGGAAGAAGAAGGTTGTGCGTCTATGCGACGCAAATAGGTGCAGTGCCAGTTTGTGCAACGTAGAAGGAGGAACTGGGTTGCGCGGCTCTGCACGTGGTGGAAGAAGAAACCCGCGACTCTTCGCGCGACTCTCTACAGGGTGGAAGGAGCCCATGGCTCTTTGCGCTGCTCTTCGCACTGTGGAAGGAGCTCGCGTCTCTTTGTGCGGCTCTGCGCATGGGGGAAGAAGGAGCCCGCGACTTTTTGCACGGCTCTGCATGCGGTGGAGGAAGAAATTGTCTGCTTTCTCTCTTCTACTGATCTGGCCTCTCTTCCCTCTAATTTGGCTTTTTTTGCTATACTTAGGGTTTAAAAAAATTCTGAAATTAGAAATCCAAAATAAGGGGTGAAGAGGATAACTTTGGATAAAAAGGTATCAACCCATCATATTTTACTATTTTAGGTTTTGGAAAAAATTTGAAAATTAGAATTCTAAAATAGTCTTACTTTAGCTTTGACACCATGTTGATTTTAGAAAAAAAAATAATTTTATTTATCACTTTTTAAGGTATTATATTTAATGTATTTATAAAACTGCTAAACTACTAATAAAGAAATTATCTATTTTGATAGAATTTCTATTACATAAAATTGCTATTATAGTAAAATGTTTATTCTAATAAATAATAATAAAGTATCTTATTCAACACCTCCCATCAAGTTGGTGCAGAGATATCACATATGCTCAACTTATAGATTAAGTTGCAAAGTAGAATAAGATCTTTCAGGCAGCAGCTCGGCTCGATTCGGCTCAAAAACTGGGTGCTTATTGAGTGAAAGTAGTTACAAGGGGGGTAAAATGTAACATTTGGAAATTCAATAGATGACAACATATACAGAATCTGCCCCTTTGTGTTTTAGGAAGTCCCAAGACAAATCTGTATATCTTACCTGATATTCAATTACAAATAGAGGCATACAACCTTATTTGGCACTTACCCTTTTCCCACTTGACAAATAGGATACTCCTAACAAGCTTTCCTGCATCTCTCTTCAAGTGAGTCTAGGAAAGCTTTCTTCTCGCCCTAACTACACTCTTTTCTTAGCCAAGATGTCCACTTATCCACAATTCGTCTCAAATAATCTTTTTGGCAAAGAAGTTCTTCGTATGCATTAAATGGTTTCCTTTTTGATATGAAGACCTTGCTTTCACAACATGGACTTCTTGAACTGTTGGCATGACTCAACCATCAAACTTGGTCCCTAGATTTCTTGAGTACATTTTCTTGCACGTTGGGGTTTATCTATTTGCTGTTGCTTTCTAAGGGGTGGTTTGAAAAATAAGCAGTTGGTTGTTGGATTTCTTGGTTGGAGAATGATGCTGTAGCGCCCGGAAAGGGTAGGAAAAAAAAAAAAAAAAAGCTACGTCGGCAGCCACGTCAGCAGACCCAGTCAGCAGTCCTGGCCAACCGGGACCTGCCACATGGCAAGACCACGTCGATCCAGGACGGGCCACGTTGGCGATCCGCGTATGCGCGATCGGACGGCCCAGATCAAGCGTGCGATCGGACGGCCCAGATGTAATCGCACGGACGGCCCAGATGCAATCGCACGGACGGCCCAGATTCAATCAAAAACGGACGGCCCAGATTAAATCAAAATGGACGGCTGAGATCAAAAGGCAAAAGGGTATAAATAGAACCCTCACACCAGACCACAAAACCCTAGCTGCCTGCCCTCGCCTGAGAAGACGAACCAGAAGCCGGCTGCCGCCACCCACCGCCGCACCGGGGAGATTTCCGACCGCCGATCGAGGTAAATTTCATACTCCCGATTCGTTTTTCCATGCTGATTTCCCCTGTGGCCAAATCGGAGCCAAAATTTCGGCCAAACGGCCGGAAAACACGGCCGAAACCCAGCGGCGCCGCCGCGCCCCTTCTCGATTTTTGCCTCCGATGAGGCCCTTCCCGGCCTCCGTTTGATGCAATTTTTATATCACCATGATCACCATTCTTTTCTCTACAGGTTGATCGGAGCCGAATCACCAAAACACGAACCTCGCCGGAGAGCCGCCGCACCCGAGAGCACCGCCGCCGGTAAGCTTCGGTTTTCCGTAATTTTTTGGCCCCCCGAGGGCCCTAGGGTTGTTTTATCGCAGGGATCAATGCGAGTGTGGCCGAATTCGGCCGAAAACGGCCAACCCGAGGTGAATCGCCGCCGCAAGCGGCGGCGGCCGTCGCCAGAGCACGGCGGAGCCGCCGTGCTGGAATTGCGATATTGGCCGAAAGGGGCCCTGGGCCTAATTTGGGATTTTTTGGAACACGTGCAGGTACCAGTAGTGCGTTTCAGTTCCCCAGGAAAAATTCAGGAAAAATTAGGGACAGCCCCTAGGCGCACTGTGAAGCCGTATTCGGACCCCGAAACGAGTAAGGACCCCTCACCCTATTTCCTATCACGGTATTAAAGTTCAATAATGATAAAACGGTATTTCTTGAATTAAAGAATGTGTGAAATTGCTTAAGGTCGCTAATGGAGCCCGAGTCTAGTGTGTTTGTCGGTTAACTGTGATTTGGCCTGTTTTACAGTTTTAAATGCAGTATGAGGTTTGATGTTCTCATTTTATAGTTTCGTGTGCATATTTTACTATTTTATTGATTGTGGGTTGAATGACTGAGATACCGATGCTGTATGTTGTCTGTTCGGCATGAATTACTATTTTGCTTGTTTAAATGTGAATTGATGATGCTGACTGAGGAAAAGGAGAATGAAAGATTGTGTAGATTGATAATTGTATAATGGGGTCAGCCTGACTAGATATCATGGGAGATGGTGGACGGACCGGGTCCGTAGGGGACCCTACCGGGATTGTGGTCTCTCATACCGGACGGGGTATGGAGACCTTATGTGTTTTGGCGCCCATACCGGACGGGGTATGGGGACGGCCCGTTTCACCCTCATACCGGACGGGGTATTGAGGTTTATAATTTTGGCGCCCATACCGGACGGGGTATGGGGACGGCCCGTTTCACCCTCATACCGGACGGGGTATCGAGATTTATAGTTTTGGCGCCCATACCGGACGGGGTATGGGGACGGCCCTGGAAATCTGATTACAAGTGTTAAGGGTTCACAGGTAGCGGGACCCCTATGGATCCCCACGGATACTAGTAGGCTGGTAAATGAGGAAAATATGTTGTGTAATGATTGAATTATAAAAGGCGTGATAAGTATTATGTTACACAGTTTATATGATTTCATGATGATGATAATGTTATTGCTTTTGTATATTGTTTTATGAATTTCACCGAGGTAAGTGAATGGTAAAGGTTTTATTATTGATAAAAGGATTTGTTGTAAATTATGCTCCATTGGTCTTTTTGTGTTTTCTACCCACCTTTACCTCCGTGACGGTGAGATATCGTGATGTCCTTACTGGGCTAGTGTAGCTCATTTCTTATCTAATCATTTCAGATCAGGAAGACATCGTTCCTGAGCCCGTTCCGCAGGAAGACGACGAAGGGGACGCCTAAAGACTCCATAGTCGTATTCATCGCTTTTACTTTCGAATTTATCTTTTAGTTAGTTTGATCTTTTATATTTTGAGTACGTTTTTGGTTTTAGTGTAAGGGATGTTAATCGAATTTTTGACTTTGCTTCCGCATTGACATTTTTAATATACACATTTCATTTTAAAATTTCCGGAGCCGTTACAGATGCTAAGATCTTGAACCAACATGTCGAGCTGTAAACTTTATTCGAGATGAGATGATTTTCATGGCCCTATTATGGGCTAAGGTGCATGGTTTTGGTTTGCCTTTGTTGTGCAAAGGAATTGGAAGGCTATCCTATATTAACATCTAAACCTTTACTTCTGTATTTTGTTTTGTCTTCTTCCTTTTTGTTTGTTTTCTTTTCCTTGTTTGATGGGAGGATATTTTATATTCTCTTTCTTTTTTTAATAATATCTTCTTTTCCATTAAAAAAATTGTCAGATGCAATATTTATTGTGTATGCATATATCAGCTAAATTGTGACGATGTTATTCTTCTCTAGCATTCAAATGTTGGTGTCAGGCTGCCTGGCAATTTAGTGTGGATTTTCCTTTGCATTCCCATCTTGATGGTGATGTCATGTAAGATCGGTATTATGATTTGTATTCTGTTACTAATACCCCATATCATATTTTGATGATGCCATTGGTGAAACAAGTTTTTCTTTTTGTAAAGGTCATTTCTGAATTCTGTCTTTGAGCTTTTATTGAGAGTTTGGGCAACTTCTCGGGATCTCAAGGTTTGTAAAGCAAGTTTTATCGTTCTTTTTCCCATTGTCTTCTTTTCCTTCTATATGCTTATTCTTCTCTTATGTATGAATACAAGATTCTGTTCTTTTGTATGGATGTTCTTTGTTTCCATTTTCTGCTTGGAGAATATCTTGTGCTCTCAACCTTCATTCATGACATCTTTCTCCCTTTTCAATAACATTTTGTCTTTTCTCAAAAATAGAATTGAGTGCTCTTTTAGCAAACGATTTTCAGAAGCTTAACAACTTCCAAGGCATACTTATCCTTTAATACTTTCTTTTGTGGATAATATCTTTTCACATGGTGGTTAAGTCCGTGCATCCATGAAGAATGCCATATGTGTTCTTAGATTATTGTTAGACTATGAGAGTATCTCCCTATGATGGTCTTTATGGAACATATACAAACAAAAAACTAGCTATGAGGTCAAATTGAGTAAGAGGTTGACTTTATTGTGTGTACTGGAGAAACTATTTATACGTATTTATGGGCCATGGAGAAGAAGAAGACAACTAAGAATAGGATAGACTAACTAAATTGGAGTAGGTATAGGAAAAAGACCTTGTATGGCAATATATTTTTCTCTTGTCCTCAAAGAATTAGGTTGTTTCTCCTTGCAGGCATACATAGATGTTGAATGATGCTTTCTTTTTCTTTTTTAAAGTAGATGTTATACAGTGTATACAAATGATGTTTCTCATTATGTGTATTGATCTCTTCAATTGTGCTCTTGATGAATTGGTTCTTGTTTGTACCATATAGGTTCGAGTAGCTTCTGTGGAAGCATTGGGTCAGATGGTGGGTCTTATCACTCGGACACAATTGAAGTCTGCTTTACTGCGACTTATCCCTACTATATTGGAATTGTATGGTTCATCTTAATCTCTGATTCTTCAGATTAGATATTGTAAAGCTTGAAATTGTATGATTGGTGACTCAATTGACTGATGCATGTCCACAGAAAAAAAAGCACACCCACATCAGTTGAGCTTAAAATTTGAAGTGGTTCATTTTCTAGTATCAAGATGCACATTCTCCGGATGTCTGTTTGATGTGCTTCCATAACTCATAATACAACACTTCTTTTTTTCTTCAATGTGAGATATTTGGAGGATTCGAAGAAGATTACTCTTTTCTTTCTGCATTTTTCGAGTGTGTCCTTCTAGCTTGAAGATCTTCATTTCAAGTTCTTTATGTGGTTTCAAGTGGAATAAAGATCATAATATGCTTTCGAGGGGCTATTTTCCATGTATTTAATCTCCTTCCTTAAACTCCTCGAGCCCTTTATTGTTCCTTCAGATCTTGATACTAGAGTTCAGACTTCGGATTCTTTAGGTGTCTAACCTGCAAATCCTTCTCAAACTGTCTCACCCATAGTCTTACTAGTCAGAATGTGACTGTCACCAAGGCCTTTTGAAAGGTAAACACTCTCTAATAAAAGCTAGAGGCTTTTATTAGAACTATTCTTAACAAGCTCAATGCAAAATGACTTGCTTCATGTATGTAGGTCCAGTTGTGCTCCTTCCCAATATGTGTGTGTTGTGTTATTGGAAGGTTAAGTCTTGTTGTCACCTCTTTCTCCATCATGACATGATCAGGAGGCTTTGGAGTATAGTTTTGATGTTTTTACTATTTTGGGTTTTTCCTTTCTCTCAAGTGCTATATTTCTCCAGTTCCTCGAGGGACCCAAGATGGAGGGTTGCTTTAGAGAAGAGGTCTGTTGCATGGTTGTTATATGGGGGTTGGAGAGAAATGCTATGCTCTTTAGAGACCGGTTTACTAAAGTTGAATCTCTAGATAGAAATTGTTTTTGGCTTCTCTTTTTGGCTAAGGCTCATGGGCATTTTAGGAATCTCTCTTTGGCTATTTTGTTGAAGAGATTGAGCTGTGTTTATGTAGTGACTTTTTTTGGTTTATTTTTTATTTTTCATTCTTTTTTGTTAAGCAGAATCTTTATCCTCCGCTCATTATACTTTGTCTTCAATCATTTGATGATATTTAGGAATGGTGTTTTTCGCTTCTTTTTGAGAGCCCATTTCTTTAGCGAATTTCTGTATCCATGCTATAAAGGGACTGGGTTTGTTATGGTTACTATTATGATGTATCACGAATCTATAAAAGATTTTAAGAATCTTATAGATATCCTGATTGCATTGTGAATAATTTTATACATGATACATACTATACTTTTATTTCAAAAAAATATTATAGTGTATTAGGGAGAACAAATGATGTGTTAAGTGGTGGACAAAATAACTGGTGAGAATAGTTCAGTATGTGTAAAATGATGTGTATAACTGGTGAGAATAGTTCAGTATGTGTAAAATGATGTGTCTTGACATGCGTATTAGGAAGAATAAGTCTAGATAAGGATAAGGAGGTAGTTAATTCTGGAAATAACTTCCAAATAACTACTCTTTCTCTGGTGTAAATACAAACTGTCTTCTTTGGCAGATCTTTATATTACAAGAATTTATAAAAAAATATGTTTAATATCTTTTTACTTAAGAAATTGTTGGGCTCTCTTTTAATGAGCTCATACTATTGACAAAAATGAGAAACTGTTTGATTCTCTCTTAAGAAGTCCATACCATTAACAAAATCCCATAAGGCGATCCCTAAATCGGGAGCATAACAAATTGGTATCTAAGTCAATCTTAAAGATTAAGGAATTGTATTACATGTTTGAAAGATTTCTGCAGAATTATCGAGAAAATAAAGAATAAGATGAGTTGGAGTTTGAATTTTTAGTGGGAAGATTGAAGGAATTATCGGCCAGAATTATCCAAAGGATCCTGGTGAAGGAAGCAGTTAAGTGGACCACCATTATGCACCTCACAGGGGCTACTGAATCCATGGTGTGCAATCTGCAAGGAAGAAAGTTCCTTGTGCAGGTAGAACCCTCTGTGTGCATTGTGGAGTCCTGCACATGCCCTTCTGAATGCGCAACGCAAATTGAGGACGGGTGGGAACCACCAGCATGCTGACCCCCTTTCTGCCTCATACACCAAACTGGACTTTTTCGATTTTGATGGTTCCGACGATGAAGGAAATTATGAAATTCCAACATTGCTAGAACCAGAAACTATAATAGCGGCAAGAATTTTGTGCTTGAGGACAAGAGAAATTTTTTAGGAGGGGATGTAATGGGTAATTCTATGGTGTGTTAGGGAGAATCAATGATATCTTAAGTGGATGGATAAGTGTATCAGGGAGAATAGGTCAGTTTGTATTATGTGTAAAATGATGTCCAAGTGTGAACATGTGTGAACACAGGTGGGAAGAAGAAGATTTTTTATTCTTTATTTTCTGTTATAATCAGTTGGTATAAAAAACTGAGTTTATAGAGTTTTACATTTCTATTTCTCTTCCTAATTTTAGGAGTAAATGATTATGTAATCAATAACAATAACTCCTTAAAAATTACACCAATAAATCCTAAGGATATACAGTAATAACTTCTAAAAATATGTAATGATAAATTCTAAAAATATGTAGTAATAATTTTAGAGATATGCAATCAACTTCTAATTCTTTTCTTATATTTCTACGCTCCGCTCAAGTTGGTGTATAGATATTGATCATGCCCAACTTGTTAATAAAAGATTCAAATTTTGGTCTGAAATGCCTCTTGATCAAAACATCAGCTGTTTGTTGCTCAGAAGTCACAAACAATAAACAAATAACTTCATTCTTCAGCTTTTCTTTAATGAAATGCTTATCAATCTCAATGTATTTCGTAGAACATGTTGAATTGGGTTGTGCGCAATGCTTATAGCTGATTTGTTATCACAAAATAGTCTCATAGGTGCTTTTGCATTTAATGTTAGTTCTTCAAGTACTCTTTTAATCCATAGTACCTCACAAACTCCATTTGTCATAGCTCTATACTTAACTTCTGTACTACTTCTAGCAATTACACTTTACTTCTTAATTCTATATTCCTTTTTCTACTTTTCTTGAACAACAACCCCCTTTTTAGTGTACTTTTTAAATACTTGAGAATCTTGTATACAACTCCCAGATGTTCCTCATAAGGTGAGTACATATACTGACTCACGATACTAACCGCAAAGGTAATATCAAGTCTTGTATGGGACAAATAAATTAGTTTTCTTACAAGACGTTGATATCTACCTTTATCAACTAGAATTCCATAAGGAGTATCTCCCAACTTCTGATTAGGATCTATGGGTGTATCAATTGGTTTGCAACCGCTCATGCATGTCTCCTCTAATAAGTCAAGAACATACTTTCTTTGTGACACAGAAATTTATATTTTTGACATTGCAATTTCCATACCCAGAAGTAGTGCAAAGACCCCAAATCTTTAGTTTCAAATTTTGAGACAAGATGTTTTTTCAACCTACAGGGCTCATCATCATCATTCCCGGTAAGTATTATTTATCTACATATATAATCAAGACAACCATCCTCCCATCACCAGTATGTTTAAAAAACATTGTACGATTAGATTGTTCTTGACTATATTCTTCTTTTTTAACAAATCTTGTAAATCTCTCGAACCAAGCTTGGAGAGGCTGCTTTAGTCCATATAATGATTTTTCAGCTTACAGACTTTTCCCCTAAACTTCTTTTCGAAGTAAGGCGGTGCATCCATGTAGACTTCCTCTTCTAGCTCTCCATTGAGGAATGCATTTTTAACATCCAATTGAAACAATGATCACTCTAAATTCACAGTTACAGAGAATAACACTCGGATAGTATTCAATTTGTCAATAGAGGCAAACGTCTCCTGATAGTCAACTCCATATGTTTGCATAAATCCTGTGGCTACTAACCTTGCTTTATAACGTTCCAGTGATCTATATGAGTTGAACTTTACAGTAAAAACCCACTTGCACCCAACAATCAATTTCCCTTTAGGCAAACTGGTCATCCCCACATGCTATTCTTCTCTAGAGCCTCCATTTTTTCAATGACAACCTTCTTCCATTTAGGAACCTTTAGTGCTTCTTATATAAATTTAGGTATATTTACACTTGACAATTGTGAGAGAAAGGTATACAAAGAAGATGATTGTTTCTTATAAGATACAAAATTTGATAAAGGGTGTTGAGTACATGATCGGTTTCTTTTTCTAAGAGCAATAGGGAGATCTAGAGGGTCAGAATGTACTTGTTGAATGGAAAAAAATTCAGATTTTACAGATTTAAAGATTGTACCTAATTCTTTGGATCCTGACGGATCAAATTCTTGGTTTTGAGAAGACATAGCTGCATCTTTCTTACTTTGAATTGAATTTCTTTTAGTGTAAGTTTTTCCGAACAACCTCTCGTTATGGCAGTGTGCATAATTCATTTTCCTAGTATTTTTTTTGTGTTCAAACACTAAGATGAGCCTCCCGTTTTCCTTATCCAGAATATTAACATTAAAGATTGCAGTTTCATTATTTTTGTAATCATTAGAATTTTTTTCAATCTTTTCTTTTTCAAATACCAAGTCTTCATTTCCTTCCCCCCTTTAAAGAAGAGGACTAAAAACTTTTGGGATTTAAAGAATTTAGCATCAATTGTGACAAAATATTTTTTTTCTTGGTAGGATTAAAACATTTACACCCTTTTTGTGTGGGATAATATAAAAAAAATACATTTTATTGTTTGTGGATCTAACTTATCTCTATTACAATTATGTATGTGAACGAATGGAACACATCCC